CAAGTTCTAGGTGCTGCTATGTGTCCTACAAGGATGCTCCAGTTCTGCCCTTGCAACAATCTGGAGGGAAGGAGCCCATCACTGCTCTGTTTGGTGAAGTGTGGAAATGGAGGCTTGGAGAGGTTATAAGTCTCACGAGTGAAGGTGAGGAGGCCTGAGGTTTTTTTTTTCCTTCAGTAGTTCGTCACTCCACACAGTTTCTCACTTGCAAGTCCTTTAAGCTGTATTGGAACTACTTATTTAAAAGTGGCTAGTACATCTCACTTGTCAAATGGATGTTTAATCATTCCCATATTCACATATAATGCTTTCAAAGACTTTCTCTTCATTTTTGCCTCTAGCCTGACCCTGTCCTCCTGTAGAGTCTGTTACCAACTGTGCTGGACTGAAGATTCCTTCCTCTCTCTATAGAACACGCTACACCTTTGTGGGTAGTAGGCTGTGAAAAGGATACAAAGGTTGTTGGAACACAGTCCCAGAACGGACCGGTGTGGGAATTCTGAGTGCTTGTGAGAAAACTCGAAGAAAACAAGACTAGTCTTGTGACCTCAGTGTCTTCAAAACCCAAAATTGTTCTTGGAATGTGTCTTTGTGCTCCTCCCAGGTGTATCGGATAGGAGTCAGTTAACTTCATGGACCTTTATGGAAAACATGATTTTGTCATGCACAGCTTTCACTTTGTGACCGTACACAGCTGGAGCCCACAAGAATGTTATTCAGGTGACCTTTTGTAACCCTCAGGGTACAAACTGTCCAATAAAATTGGCTATCGAATGAGACTTTAACCTGCCTCCCTTTTAGGTCCCACTCTCCCAGGTTCATGCCACCAACTAGAGCGGTAAACAAAAGGTGACTGTGGAACATATGCCCCTTGTTTTCCAAGACAGACAGGGGAAGAGATGCTAAGGACATACAGCCTGTGATTCTGGGGAAGCTACAGCCAGTTTTCTAGTGAGACTGAGGGAATTCAGAGCTGATCTCTCTCCTGGGGGCTCTATAGGGGTGAGTCATTAAGGGGAGGAGCAGAGTGTCACCAAGTAGATTGGATTCTCTCATTGGACTATATCTACCTGTCACCCATGCTGTGAAAGCTGGGCTTGTACAACACACACAGAAGTCTCCTCAGAACATTTTCTATATGGACACATCCTTTAAGGGCTGCTTTAGAATCATGGACACAAGTCTTGGCTCCAGGGCTATTTCTGGATACAAACTGACCAGTTTTTTTTTTTTTTCCAACTATAAAGTAGGAATATTTGGCTAGGTACATAACCTTTTTCATGGACTTTTGGTTAGAATTATATTCATTCACATAAAATTACTTGCAGGCTACAGTGGAATATAAAAATGAAAGACTATTTCTGAACATTCTTGTTACAAATACTAGTAACAACTGATGACGTGAGTTTCTTGTTTATCTAATGCTTTTTGTTTTTCAAGCTTATATTTTCTTATTATTTTGAAGTCTATGCCCGTGTATCTGTGTACAGCTGAGTGCTGGAGCCTGCCGAGGTCAGAGGTGTGAGGTCCCCTGGACCTGGAGTTACAAATGGTTGGTTATAAGTCACCTGATATGAGTGCTGGGAATTGAAAGAGCATCATTATGTACTCTTAATTGCTCAATCTTCTGTCCAGTCCCTTGTTTTTTATTTTTTGATACTTGGGGAAAGATAGTAGGGCTTCAGAGATTCCTAGTCCCCAGCCTCTGTCCTTGGAACCCAAGAAGTCTAGGGAGGGGTCTGGTAGGTACAGTTGCTTGTGTGAGTTTTCTGTGCTGGGACAAGGCTGAGCAGAACTCTGTAGGAGCTTTGCTCTTCTCATTGGTGGTTCATGCTGCAGACAGAAGTGTCAAAACCAGACTCTGACTTGCATGCTCCGAAGAGGACAGAGGGTGGTTATCTAAGTTTGAGCTCATACTGTGTCTAGGCACTGTTATGCCCACCATCTTCTTAACAAACTAGCGATCTAGGTATCTGTATGTCTAGTTTATAGACGAGGATGCTGAGGGGGGTGGGATTGTTTTCAAATTTTAATAAAACTGAAAAATAGAAATGCAAAATTTAAACCCACGTTATCTACCTGCAAGGTTCCTGCAGCCCTGTTGCCTTCTCAGCAGGCTGCGTTCTTATAGCACTAACGCCATGTTAATCCTGATCAACCTTCTTACTTGGGTCACTTTTCCCAGGAGAAAGGTTGGTGTATGATGAGAGATTTTGCATTAGCCTTCTATCTCTCTTCCTTCTTACACTTCTTATGATGAGACTCTTCTCTCCTACCTTCTGCCCTGATTTCTCGCTCTCTCTTCAAGTCTCAAAGAAAGCCCAAGGAGTCAAGAATCTCAATAATTGAAGAGCCTGCAGACAGTCCCTGCCCCCTTAGATACTGGCCCAGAAATCCTGGGACAAAACACACAGAAGAAAAAAATATACATATAATTCTGCTCAAGCAGGCCACATAGACCAAACTACAACTATCAATTTTTAGAGATGTTAGAAGTCTCAAAATAGCCAGATGGTGCTGGCGCATGCCTTTAATCCCAGCACTCGGGAGACAGAGGCAGTTGGATCTCTGTGAGTTTGAGGCCAGCCTGCTCTACAGAGCGAGTTCCAGGACAGTCTCCAAAGCTACAGAGAAACCTTGTCTCAAAAAACAAACAAAAAGTCTCAAACTGTGATTTCCAGATTGCTTGTTTTATAGCTAAGAAAAACGGAGAGGCAAGAATATGAAGGGACATCCACAATGCCACATACCAGTGAGAGGCAGAGTGTGGGCCAGAGACCAAATTTCCTAAGGGAAATCTTTAGCTTTTCCTGCTGTGAACTCAACTTTATGGGATGACTCTCTCTGGAGGGAGGCTCCGAGTAGAGATCTATGAAAAGTCCTGAAGCCAGGGCCTCTCCTTGGCCTCTGCTTTGATCTGCTCACACTCCTGTTAAAGAACAGGAAGTGCTTCATCTTTCAGCTCTGAAAGTGCATTTTGGGGATGGGAAAGGGGGGTTGGGGAGAGGATTCCCATGCAAGATGGCTAAGAGCGATCAACAGTTTACTCTTGCTTAAAGAATAGAAAGATGTAACATCAGACATTTAAGGAAAAGATTCAAGCAGAATGTGACCTCAGCAAGAGCATCCTCAAGCCCCAGGGTGGATATTGGAGAGGATTCTTTCTTCTCCACCAGTTCCTTCTCTGTTCTGATAGAGCTGGATGCCAGGAGGTGAGAGTGGGAACATGGGGGAGGGGTGTCAGGACTTTATACAACCTCACTATGCTAGCACCCACAGCTTCCCCTGATAAGGGAGGAAGGAGGAATGAATTACTCAGTTTAATAATTCATATAAGTTGAAAAATTTACTGTGTGAAATAAAGGGGCCATAAGAGGGCAAAAGAGAAAAATATTCCTGAGTCCTCTTAGAAAGGACAGAGGTATGAAGAGGATGTTTCTTTATTACCTTGCTCTAGAATGCAGATAGATGATCCATGTGAAATAAGCAAGTAACCCCTCCAATGATAGGTAGCCCCTCCCTCCAATGGTAGGTAGCCCCCTCCCTCCCTTCAATGGTAGGTAGCTCAGATTCCAGGAATCTTTTTCACAAAGCAGGTCTGGTTTAAGAATCAATCCTCTTATTCAACCTCATCTACCCAGCTAGCAAGATTTTACCTGAAAAGCTGGTTTTACAGCAAAGAAAACTGAGGTGGAAAAAAAAAAAGAAAAGAAAAAAGAAAAAAAAGAAAGGAAAAATAGATACGGGTAGGTAGCAATACCTACACTAGAATCCAATCCTCTCCTGCTGGCATAGTACCCATGGCAATGTCCTCATCCCAGCTTCTCACCCCTCCACTCTCCAGGCAATTGAGATTCCATGATAGCCAAACCATCCTTGGAGGACTCAGCAGCCAAGAGCTTTGACTGAGTCCTTGGCTGATAAGGGGTTGGGATGAAGGTCATTTAAGGGCATCTCAGAAGGCTGTCTTCTGTATCCTTGCACATTATAAGCTGAGGGCCTCTTAGACACACTACGTGGCTGTTTTGTAAAGGACTGGTTGGTTCATGCAAACTGCAGTACAAGTCACAGAAGCAGAGTTCGTGAAGGGGAGAGTCCATGCAGAAGATGAGAGGTCCAGGAGCTAGCTGAAGGCTAGATGCCACGAGCCTCCAGATCACGCTAAGACCTTTGGCTTTTTCCTTGGAGTCAGTACTGGATTTGGTCCGTGGCATAGTAGGACATCTTCTCAGGGGTCTTTCTAAGTGTGGTTGAGAATAGACTGTTTTGGAAGGTTGTTCTAGGTGTATAGCCTAGGTTGGCCTCACACTCCTGCTTCTGCCTCTCAAGTGCTGGCATTACAGGCACACACCACCACACTTGGTGAGAACACATTATATATAGCACAGGCAGAAGAAGGAATCCAGAGAGAAGGGTTTTTAGTAATTCAGAAGAAAGAAGATAGTGGCTTAGATGCAGGCAATCAGAAAGCAGGTGATAAGAAGCGGTTGGATTCTGAATTTTTCTTTTAATAGTTAACTGGCCAGAGAGAAAAGACCCTGAGTAGTGAACATCAGCATGACCAAGAGAACAGGGAGCCAGTAAAGTTCTAGAAGTCATGAGGATAAAGAGTTCCTGGAGCGGGGGGAGGAGGGGAGGGAGAAGTCATGAGTGGGGTCTGATATTGTCTGGGAGTTGAGAGCAGGTTGAAAACTGTTGGATGTAGACAGTGGAAGACATTGGTACCCATGGCAGGAGCAGCACTTGACACCTAGCCTCATGGAGCCCTGGTTTGCCTACCGACTGTTGTCTAGGGGTCCTTTATTGTGACCCTTGCCTTCCCAATTAGATTGTAAACTTGGAACCACAGGGATGATGAGTCAGCCTGTTCCCAGAGCACCAGGTCGTTGGCAGCTGTGGGGTCCTCATCAAGCCTGCTGTAGGTTCTGTGTGGCTTGCCAGCTCACTCTGTCACTGGCTCTGGGGCAATGGCTAGAGCAATTATCCTCATGCTCGCTTACCTTGGACACAGCATTTCAGTTCCTTTGGGTCTGTGACGCTCTTCCTGCTTTCCCGGATCACAGCCCGGTTCTTCTTGGTTTCTCCCCAGAGATTGGTGCCTCCGTACATGCTGGGAATGTTCAGAATGGCAATGCCTTCCAGGAAGATATTGCTCAGGTCCACCTCAACTCCGTCACACTGTGAAGCAAGGAGAAAGCAGATCACAATGGGGCCGAGTGTGGCGGGCTTCTTAAAGGGTGTGGCAGGTCCTCAGCCATCCCACCACTGTCATTTAGAAGCTGGATATCTGGCAGCTTCTCAGACGTAAGAAATGTAGTGAGATGGAGCCATCTAGTCCTACTGGCTCCAGGAAAGACAGCACAAAACTTCCAAAGGGCCAGAAAGACTTGTGGATGCAATTTAGACCAAGGCAGTTGCTAAACTCATGCCCTCAGTTTGGATTCTTGCTAATCACAATGTAGGTCTGCTGTGTCACTGGGTCCAGAAACCAATATTAGGTAGGTTCTTAACAAATGAAAATTTTCATTTTATCCCTTTATTTTATCCTTTCCCCTGCCTGATGAGAAGCGCAAGACTTTCAGCTTTGGGAGAGCTTCCAGTTTGCTTGTCTCTCAGAGCTTTGTAAGTGTTGCTCTGGCACACACCCTTGCTGACAGAGCTGAGTTTCTTTATCTAGTTTCTACCACCCTCCACCCCCCACCCCCACGGGGTTTGAAAGGTCAGAAAGCTTGAGTCTGTGTGCTTCACCTAGCTGTAAATCCTATATTGGCACAATGCTTACCAACACAGCAAGAACAAACAAACAAAAACCCACTAGCTTTGATTCTGGGTCCTTGGGATTAGTAGTTAATTTATTTCAATTACAGAAGAACAAAGGGGACCCAACGAGATATCCTATATTACCCAAGAATGCACAGGTAAACTGGACATTTGTGGAATTTGACTATAAACTCCATGGCTTTTTAGCTTGCTTCTTTCACGAAAGGCAAGCAACTGAGATTGAGCAGTAATGACTTACTGCCACCTGGGTTGTCTACTGCTGTGGTCTGGAGGCCTCCATCAAATTCATGGTGGGTTAATTCCATTGTCACAGTATTACAAGGTGGGGCCTAATTAGGATTAGATGGGAATGGAGCCCCATGATCTTATTAGCTTTGTCAGAAGGGGAGGGAAAGCACAATGTAATGTGCCTTTGCTGCCTCCAGACTGCAGTGTCCCTGGGAGCAAAAGGCCCTACCACATGCAGTCCCTTGTCCCTGAACCTGAATGGTGGGGACTAAACTTTTGTTACTTTTCACCCAGTTTGTGGTATTCAGGGACAACAGAAAATGACCTAAAGTACCCAGAAATCAAACGTTCAGAGTCTTCACCAGAGGAGGAAGAAAGATTTGGAGCTCGTTACCATTCACAGTGACTCACCGCCTGATTTCTTTGAAGTTCCTAATCAGTATTGTCACCTTATGACTTGTTCCCAACCACAGAACAAGAATACAGTGAGCTTTTCTGGTAACTGGTAACTCATTTCTCCACTGGGGAGTTTGGATCCTCTGAAAGTTCTCTCAGGTGGGTATGGATTCTTGCTTCCAGTTTCCTCCATTGGTCCTAGCCTCCCTCGTGGAGCTAAGTGGCATGGCCTTCCTCCTCCTTGCATGCAGCCAGTCCAGTCAGTGCACCACGGAGAGGGGATTGTCATTACTGTGGTGTTTATGGGGTCTGTAGCTGGGGCTCGGTGAGCAGTATGTTAACCTAACATGCACAAAACCACCCCTACTAGTGCATACACTGGGCCCATGGCACAGTGCTTGGGAGGTAGAGGCAGGAGGATCAGAAGTTCAAGGACATTCTTAGCTACATAGTGAGTTCAAGGTCAGTGTGGGATACATTAGACCCTGTCTCAAAACTAACAAACAAGCAAACAAGAAAACTACTACCACCACTACCAACAGAAAACCCATTCAAACAGAACCTAAAAGAAACCCAAATCCAAAGAAACTCATTGACTATGGCCACACCATCCCGTCGGTTAGGATGGCTACTTTCCTTTGTATCTGGGAGAACTGAGGCACAGAGGAAGCAGAGTCCCTTGTCCGGCATCACATGCTGTATAGGCAGAAGCACACAGACTTCAAGCAAGCAGTTAAGAGTCTTAGACTTAACCATTCTCTCTTCCCCCATTCATCTGGCTGTGCAGCCTCTGGCCTGATTATGACCAATGCTTCGGACCTCCTTTCCAGATGTTTCTTATTTTGACTGTTCTACTTTGCACACACCACAGTTTATTACCTGGCTCATTGGTATCATCCCTGGCATTGAAAACAATAGCACTGACAGCATTCCGTGGGATAGGTGGCAATCACACCACAGTTTCTTGGGGGCTGCAATTCTATCACATTATCATGGTCATAAAACAAGACATGTGCAAAGCACCTGGAAGGATGTAACATGTTACCTACCACTGTCCTCCTTGCTAATGCGGTATGAGCCTTATTAGCTCTTTGGTGTAAAGCTGAACGGTGACATTGCCATTTCCACTGGCATGAGTTCATCTCAGCTACCTTATTCTCACCTTATCATGTGTTTCTCTCTCTTGAACTTATGCAGGATTGAAAAATATATATAGCTTAGACACAGGACTTTCCATTTATGTTCATTTCTTTCATCAGGTTCTCGGTCCGAGCCTCCTCTAGTCTAATCAGATCATAGTCCTGTGACCTTTGTCACAACTCTTCCATCATTTGGGGATTAAGTTATATAATTGCAAAACCAAGGAACAAGTCTCCCCTTGGTCAGTGTAACATGGGAGACATGGTGTGGTAGCAACCTTAGCGTGGAGGTGCTTTACTGCCGTGGTGTCTTCAGGATCCTGGTCCTAACCAGCCTATTTGCATTTTAAGGTGGCATCATGGAGCTTTAGATGAGATGGACCTAAGAGAACATACCTCACCTTGGAGCTAGATGGAAATCCAGGTATGCAGACCCCAGTCCTATGTTTTGTTTTTTCTTTTTCTTTCTTTCTTTTTTTTTTCTTTTGGCCAAAACAGAAAACACTATGCTATGTTCACACTGAATTTTCTAAATGATTTCCTGACAACCTCTATCAGAAAAGTAATAAAAGAATCTATCTGAAGTCAACCATATTACCCATGCATGGGTGTCAACCATCAACTCTCGTTTCCAGGGACTACAAAAACAAATGTAGTTTTCATAGTATACCCCTTTGTCTCTGGGAAACTGGTGTGACATTTGTTTCTGCCTCTCATTGGATAGTTTCTCCTGTCTTCTACATGGATCAGAGTGACTTCTGAATGATATCTAGAGGATTATGAACAACTTGGACTCAAGGGTGTGTGAGATTTCCAAGGCCATTATGCTCCCCATTGTTCTACCTTGGACATGGTGGGGACTTCAGCATCCTTTTCCCCACTTTTAACTTAGGACCTGTTGCAGTTCACTACTCTGTTGCTGTGATAAACACTGACCAAAACTGAGCCCGGGAGGAAAGAGTTCACTTGGCTTATACATCCCAGGTCACAGTCCATCACTGAAAGAATCCAGGGCAGGAACTCAAGTCAGAAACCGGGAAGTAGGAACTGAATCAGAGGCCATGGAAGGGTGCTGCTTCCTGGGTTGTTGCCCAGGGCTTGCTCAGCCTGCCTTCTTAAATAATTCAGACCATCTGCTTAGGGGTGGTACCACCCACAAAGTGCTGGGTCCTCCTACATCAACCGTCAGTCCAGACCAAAACCCACAGACCAGTCCAAAGGCCAATCTGATGGAGGCAATTTCTCTATTTTGGGTTCTCCTTTTCCCAGGTGCCTCAAGTTTGTGTCAAGTTTATAGACATCACCGGTAGAGAGTCGCCAGTGAAGACAACATCTAGAATGGTGGAGCCCTACTGAACTACGCTTCCCATGTCTTGTTCTGCTCTTTTGTGTTGTTTTGCACACCATGTAATGTTCTCAGCTGCAGTCTTCCTGGAGCCAGACTTGTAGGTCGGAGGTGTTCTTTGGGAAGTTACTCCTGGGCAAGGCTAGATGCTGCCTTTGTGTCTCTGTGCATAGTCCTCCTTAATGCATGGGCTCATCCTGGCCTCCCTGTTGCTGTCACAGTGACTTGGAAACAAGAGCCCCTTTCCCTTTCCCTTCTCAATGTGTTTAATGATCTGTTAGGAGTTTATCTTGGGAAGTGTTCTTATTGGTCCACCCTTCCTCTGCTATTACTAATTAGGAATGTATGCTCTGGTTCACTGTGCCAAAACTTGTCTGTACTTCAAGATGAACTTCCCTCAACTCTGTGGCTGGAATTGTCCCCTTTCCTGTACGTCTTCCTAGATCAGATGGCTTTTTCTCTTCCTGGCTGGAGTAGCTTCCACAGCACCTCAATTTATTCTTTTTTTTTTTTTTGTCTCTTCCCTTCTGAGAAGTAGTAACAGGTACAGCCACCCTTGGCCAGACCTCCTTCACCTACATCACCTTTTAGGTTCCTGGTAGTGAGGGAGACGACACTGCTGTCCCAATGGGTGGTGATGGTGCTGGCTCAAGGTCACCACACAGATGCAGATGGAGGTTGCCAACACAGGCACTGGATGCCAGATTCCACTCAAGATGAGGTGGTGAAGCTGATGCTGGATTTACAGCAAAATTTAGCTTGCAGCTGTTGTTTGAATAATTGAATCTCCCACTGCCATTCTATCTTATAAGGGCTTAGACGTTAGTGTTATTAAATCCCATCTCTAGGCCAGATTTGTTTAAAAAACAACATCCCACAAAACCAAAGAACAATACCACCAGCACTCTCCCTGACAGTCACCTTCCTTGCTGGCAGCCTTAAAGTGTCCTGTCTATCTGTACCCATAACCTGTTAGGAGTGTTAACTGTTGCTGTCTCTTTTAGAAGAGCAATCCTGTCTGCTCTTGGTGGACTGCCTCTCCCATTCTCTAGCCAGTGTAGAGTGGGGCAAATAGGAGAAGTAGGAGGACCCTGGGGTGTTTGACACTGAACTCTCCACACACTTGGGCTTGGAGACAGAGGATGTAAATCCTGGCTCTGCTGTGATTCTGGGTTGGTCCTTGATATCTCTGGGCTTTAAGTGGTCACCTGGAAAATGAGGGCGGGGATGAGCAAGTTTTGGTGGGAGCAAGGCAATCCCTAACTCCTGCATTACTTGAGTCATCTGTG